CTATAGTCTAGTCTATAGTCTAGTCTATAGCATAGTCTAGTCTATAGTCTAGTCTATTCTCGTCTATGGTCTAGTCTATAGTCTAGTCTACAGTCTAGTCTATAGTCTAGTCTATAGTCTAGTCTATAGTCTAGTCTATAGTCTAGTCTATGGTCTAGTCTATGGTCTAGTCTATAGTCTAGTCTACAGTCTAGTCTATAGTCTAGTCTATAGTCTTTAGTCTAGTCTTTAGTCTAGTCTATAGTCTAGTCTATAGTCTAGTCTATAGTCTAGTCTATAGTCTAGTCTATAGTCTAGTCTATAGTCTAGTCTATAGTCTAGTCTATAGTCTAGTCTATAGTCTAGTCTATAGTCTAGTCTATAGTCTAGTCTATAGTCTAGTCTAGTTAGTCTATAGTCTAGTCTAGTCTATAGTCTAGTCTATGTCTAGTCTATTGTCTAGTCTATATTCTAGTCTATAGTCTCGTTTATTGTCTGGTCTGTGGTCTAGTCTTTATTATTTTATTTTTTTGTATAGGGCTCTTTTTAAATCTCTATAATCTGCAGCTTTTTCCATTCTATTATTATTTATTTTTTTTATCTAATTTTGTTGTTGTTGTAACTTATACATATTCGTAAATTTTTTGCAAAACGCCCAATATAAAAAATACTAGTTATTATTTATTGTAAATTCATAAATAAATAAAGTTATTTTTCCATTCTGGTTTGGGAAAAATGCTTTTAATTGTTATGGCTTTTAGACAATTAGAAAATAAATATGCTAAAAATTTGTTTAAATAATAATAAAAAAGCATATCTTAACACTCTACTTTTAAAAAAATATTAAGTTTCTTAATTTAACTTAAAAAATACAAATATAAATAATAAATATTTACGATATAAATTTTTAATAAAAAAAAAACAATTTCAGTTTATAACAAATTACTATTCAATTAGTACTCAAGTGAAATGCTTTATATGTATTTTTTAGGAATTATAAAAAATCTATTTAAAAGAATGTGGAAAAGTTAACAAATCCCCTAATTAAAGATTAAACAATTAGTTTATGTTTTTTTAAATTAAAAGAAAAAAATTAAATAATTTTTATATGTGTATATTAATACTTTTTAGAAAAATATAACTATTGATACCATTGCAAAGTTCAAAAGTCATTACACTGTGTCAGTTTTTATTATTATCGATTACATGGCTTAAACTTGTAGGTTATAGACAGCAACTAAAAAATCCACAAGATTTAGTTTAACAAACTAATTACAAACTAATGTAAGTTTATGCGACAGATAATATACATAAAACATAAGAAAAATGTCTGAAAATGAAGTCAAACAACTGATAAATAGTTATCTTTGTTAATGCAGTATAGTCCAGGCTAGTATTAAGACCCCACGCCAGACTATAGTACAGAATATAGAATATACTATAATCCATGCTACAAAGTAGGCAATAGTCAAGACTCAAGACTAGAATGTGGTCTAGATCATAGACTAATCCTGACTAAAGAATTGACTATAGAATAGACTATAGTTTACACTATAGACAGGACTATAATCCAGACCATATATTAGACTTTATTCTAGACTACAGAATTAAAAATAGTCCAGACTTTAGTTCTACTACAGTCTAGACTATCGTCTAAATATAGTTCAGACTATAGTCCTTGATATAGAGTAGACAACAGTCAAGACTCTAGATTAGAATGTAGTCTAGATCATAGATTAGTCCAGACTGTAGAATAGTCTATAGTTTACACTATAGACAGGACTATAGTCCAAACCATAGACTAGACTTAATTCTTATAGTCCTACTACAGACTAGGCTATCGTCCAAATATAGACAATACTATAATTCAGACTATAGTCTATGCTATAGAGTAGACAATAGTTAAGACTCTACATTAGAATGTAGTCTGGATCATATACTAGACTTTATTCTAGACAATAGTCAAGACTCTACATTAGAATGTAGTCTGGATCATATACTAGACTTTATTCTAGACTACAGAATTCAAAATAGTCCAGACTCTAGTCCTACTACAGACTAGACTATCATCTAAATATAGTTCAGACTAAAGTCCATGCTATAGAGTAGACAACAGTCAAGACTCTAGATTAGAATGTAGTCTAGATCATAGATTAGTCCAGACTTTAGAATTGTCTATAGTTTATACTATAGACAGGATTATAATCCAGACCATAGACTACACTCTATTGTAGACTATAGAATACAATATAGTCCCGATTCTAGTCCTATTGAGTTCAGACTAGCGTCCAAACTATAGACAGACTTTAGACTAAACTAAAGCTCACACTGTAGACTATAAGACTATACTATACTAGGCTATAGAATAGACTACAGTCCAGACTATAGGCTATACTATAGATCAGACTATAGAACAAACTATATTCTAGACTATAGACCAAACTATAGTTCACACTATAGACTTCATAGAGAGTTCTGTATTATGGACTATAGACTAGTATAATGATAATGTTTTAGACTAAAAAGTAGACTAAAGTCCAGACTATAGACTATACTATGGACCAAATTATAGAATAGAGATACCATCATAATGGGAATGAAAAATAGCACATCTTAGAAACTGCAACAGCTAAAGACCTCATAATGTTTACGGACATTTTTGCCATTAGAGTTAGAATTTTGCAGGGGCAATTTTGTCATTAATGTATAGTTTTGGGGAATAAATTAACGGATTGGCAATAGAGGGCGTAGCACTTTCCATTTGAATGATATAGAAAAATTCGTATATTTGGGAAGACATTCATATTCATATTCATACATATTAATGTAAACCTTTCTGTAATAAATTGGCGGATTAACTATAGGGGGTGTGGCACTTCCCATATGAATAAAATAGAAAAAATCGTATATTTAGGAAGACATTAGAGATAGAATTGTCAAATTTTTCAGGGGAAACTTTGACATTAATGTAAAATATTGGTTAATAAATTGGCGGTTTAGCAATAGAGGGCGTGGCACCTCCCTTTTAAATGAAATAGAAAAAATTTTTATATCTAGGAAACCATTAGAAATAGAATTGTCAAATTTTACACGGTTAACATTGACATCCATAAAAACGTTTGGGTAATAAATTAGCGGATTAACAATAAAGGGCGTGGCACCTCCCATTTGAATGAAATAGAAAAATTCGTATATTTGGGAAGACATTAGAGATAGAATAATCAAATTTTACATATTAACAACAACATTGACATCCATATGAACCTATTTCTCCTATACCCACCTTAAAGTATACCAATCGACTCAGAGTCGATTTGGCTATGTTCGTCTGTCCGTCTGTCCATCCATCCATCCATCTGTCTGGCTATCTGTCTGTATGTATGTCTGTCTGTCTGTCTGTATTTCTGTCTGTCCGTCTATGTGTCAAAGACGAAGCCTCAAATAGGACTTTTGAACTCATAAATATGTTAAATGTTCTTGTATCTCTCAAAAAATTGACAAAACTTAGTTTTTTATCTGTCTGTCTGTCTGTCTTTCTGTCTGTGTCCGTCTATGTGTCAAAGACTAAGCCTCAAATAGGGCTTTTGAACTCATAAAAATGTTCTTGTATCTCTCAAAAAATTGGCAAAACTTAGTTTTATATAAGTCTTAATGCGAATGATGATTTTCGTTATGATCGGACATCTTTCGACCCTAATCAAAGTCCTCTTCAGAAAATGATTTAATGCTCAAAATTCACTTAAAAACACTAATATCACGATGATATTCTACATAAATAACTTGTTGATGTAAATCATTCTACCACAATTTATAAGGATAGGACCATATTAACCTGCTCCTTGTTAACTCCTCTTACTTGTTGTTCTTCAAATGTTACTTTTGGTACTCTAGCTAAGTAATGAACAAATTTCAATAAATTTTAATTATTCCATACAATAACTTAATTGTTTTTAAGAATAAACAAACAGTGTCCTTTAATATTAACTTTTAAAGTTACTGTTCTTCAATTTATTGTTATCTACCCATCAAATACTACCTTAAACTTTAACAAAAACACAACAGAATCATAAAAAATATGTGCATACTTATCGAGACGCCAGTGAGCTTATCTTAACTTATTTTTATTATTTACTATTTTTTTTCTCTTAGAACCAAAATGTATTAACAATCTTATTTTTTTTTTGCTCCTGATACTTTTAACAGTTTGATAGCAAAACTAGCAATACTTAAAACTGTAGCATACTTAAAGGGGTGGGCAAGGAATGGAGAGGAAAATAATACGTAAATATTTGTTTTTGTTTTACATTACAACTGTATGGTTGTTTATGCTGATGATGTTGTTGTTGCAAGCAGAAACTCTTTAGAAAAATACATTAAATGTATGAGTATTTTGAGTAGTATTAGTAATAGTAGTAGATGCAACTAACTATTTAAACTTTATGTGGCACATTCACTCATTCATAGCATTGAGTTTTGGAGTTTTTTTTTTTTTTTTGCTTCTTTTGAAGTATGAGTCTGCTTTATGGCAAGTTTTTTTAAGAAGATTTTATATTCTCTATCTGGCATAAACTGAGATTTATGCATTTTTATCATAAATTCTACAGCAGTAACGATTTTATTATGAGCCATATAAACGTTTTTTTTCTTATGGTATTTTGCAACATATTTTCAGGGTGATTATAATAATGACATTGATGAGATGAATCATGTAAATGGCAATAATGATGATGAGATTGTTAACAATGATGAATTTTTATTTAAACTTTTACTTAAAGTTGGCAAAATGTTAAGGTTAGTTATGTTAAAGTAGTGACTCACTAAATTTAGTTATAAATTCAAAATTACCTTTTTCACATCCAAAGAAAACTTAAACAATTTTCTTTAATTTTTAATAAAAATTTAAATTTTTACTTTTTTTTTCTTCTTCGCACTCAAATAAAACAAAATTTAACAAAAAACTTTAAAAATTTACAATTAACTTGTTTTTTTTTTACAAACCTAAAGCTAAACGTTACTTTTTCTTATGAATTTTAAAAGCCAGCCCTTAGGCGCTTTTTGCCCCAAAATAAATTATTACTCTTCCTCCTCCTCAGCCACTACACGGGAAGTTTTACGTCTAGAAGGACCACGTACACGTTGTGGTTTCTTTTCTTTGGGTTTAGGATTTTCCAATTCCTCTAATTCGGCATCGGTTAAGCGATCCTTATACCAATCGGCACTATACAATAAGAAAAAAAAACAAAAATTAAAAAAAAACCCTTTAAATACCTCCCCCCAAACCACTCACCATTCTGGTACATTACGAGACCATTCACAATGTTTCTTCTCATCATCGAATACTTGACCCAATTTGCAACCATTTCTACGGGGTATTTCACCATTAACGCACACATAGAAGAATTGACAATCATCGGGATCGGCATAACGGGGATGAGTAGCTGCCTCAGTTTCATTTACTTTAGGGCATTCAAATTCGAAAATATCTTCAGATTTGCAACCGGTAACACCAACCTCATCGGGCCAAGTGCAAATGCCAGTTTTGGGATTGAATACCAGACCTGAGGGGCAGGTGATCATATTGAATTGACCATCGACACAGTAGTAGAATTTATCGCAAATTCCGGGTTTCTCATGGCCGAAGTAGCCATTTTTGCGGGGACAATGTTGGGAAGGTTGAGGAGTTTCTGAAAGAGAAAAAAAAAAAAAACAATAAAAAACATGTTAGAAACTTAAATAATCCAAAGAAATATAGTATATACAAAATTAGACTATAGACTAGACTATAGAAAAACTAGACAGATTTCACTATAAATTTGACTAGATTACAGATTACACTAGATTAGCCTATATAGAAGATGTAGTATATAGTCTACAGTTTAGTCTAGTCTACAGTCCAGTAGACTTGTATAGTCTAAAGTCTAGTTTATAGTCTAGTCTACAGTATAGTCAATAGTCTAGTCTATAGTCTAGTCTATAGTCTAGTCTATAGTCTAGTCTATAGTCTAGTCTATAGTCTAGTCTATAGTCTAGTCTATAGTCTAGTCTATAGTCTAGTCTATAGTCTAGTCTATAGTCTAGTCTATAGTCTAGTCTATAGTCTAGTCTATAGTCTAGTCTATAGTCTAGTCTATAGTCTAGTCTATAGTCTAGTCTATAGTCTAGTCTATAGTCTAGTCTACAGTCTAGTCTATAGTCTAGTCTATAGTCTAGTCTATAGTCTAGTCTATAGTCTAGTCTATAGTCTAGTCTATAGTCTAGTCTATAGTCTAGTCTATAGTCTAGTCTATAGTCTAGTCTATAGTCTAGTCTATAGTCTAGTCTATAGTCTAGTCTATAGTCTAGTCTATAGTCTAGTCTATAGTCTAGTCTATAGTCTAGTCTATAGTCTAGTCTATAGTCTAGTCTATAGTCTAGTCTATAGTCTAGTCTATAGTCTAGTCTATAGTCTAGTCTATAGTCTAGTCTATAGTCTAGTCTATAGTCTAGTCTATAGTCTAGTCTATAGTCTAGTCTATAGTCTAGTCTATAGTCTAGTCTATAGTCTAGTCTATAGTCTAGTCTATAGTCTAGTCTATAGTCTAGTCTATAGTCTAGTCTATAGTCTAGTCTATAGTCTAGTCTATAGTCTAGTCTATAGTCTAGTCTATAGTCTAGTCTATAGTCTAGTCTATAGTCTAGTCTATAGTCTAGTCTATAGTCTAGTCTATAGTCTAGTCTATAGTCTAGTCTATAGTCTAGTCTATAGTCTAGTCTATAGTCTAGTCTATAGTCTAGTCTATAGTCTAGTCTATAGTCTAGTCTATAGTCTAGTCTATAGTCTAGTCTATAGTCTAGTCTATAGTCTAGTCTATAGTCTAGTCTATAGTCTAGTCTATAGTCTAGTCTATAGTCTAGTCTATAGTCTAGTCTATAGTCTAGTCTATAGTCTAGTCTATAGTCTAGTCTATAGTCTAGTCTATAGTCTAGTCTATAGTCTAGTCTATAGTCTAGTCTATAGTCTAGTCTATAGTCTAGTCTATAGTCTAGTCTATAGTCTAGTCTATAGTCTAGTCTATAGTCTAGTCTATATTCTTGTCTATAGTCTAGTCTATAGTCTAGTCTATATTCTTGTCTATAGTCTAGTCTATAGTCTAGTCTATAGTCTAGTCTATAGTCTAGTCTATAGACTAGTCTATAGTGTAGTCTATAGTCTAGTCTATAGTCTAGTCTATAGTCTAGTCTATAGTCTAGTCTATAGTCTAGTCTATAGTCTAGTCTATAGTCTAGTCTATAGTCTATAGTCTAGTCTAGTCTATAGTCTAATCTATAGTCTAGTCTATAGTCTAGTCTATAGTCTATAGTCTAGTCTATAGTCTAGTCTATAGTCTAGTCTATAGTCTAGTCTATAGTCTAGTCTATAGTCTAGTCTATAGTCTAGTCTATAGTCCAGTCTATAGTTTAGTCTATAGTCTAGTCTATAGTCTAGTCTATAGTCTAGTCTATAGTCTAGTCTATAGTCTAGTCTATAGTCTAGTCTATAGTCTAGTCTATGGTCTAGTCTATAGTCTAGTATATAGTCTAGTCTATAGTCTAGTCTATAGTCTAGTCTATAGTCTAGTCTACAGTATAGTCTATAGTCTAGTCTATATACTCTATTCTCTAGTCTCAATTGTTGTCTATATTATACAATTTTCTAAATATTTTCCTATAATTAGTCTTGACCCTTGATCTTCATTATGTTTATAAAACCCTGACATTTGTAGCAATATTTCTCTGTTAACTTTTGCAAATATTTTAAACAACATTAAACCAAACTCTTGGCAGAAAATTAAGAAAAGCCATTGACTAACAATATAAAGTCTACTACCATAACTGTCAATTAATCTTGATAATATAATAGACTCTCGAAAAAATAACACCAACATTGTCAAGGAGACAAACATAACCACAGTGTTTTGTTTTTGTGCATTTCTCTTACGAAAGTCACCTGAAACTGTATTTGACTCAAACAGGGAGTCTAACCAAAGTGTTTTCACAACACAATAAAAGAAGTTACAATGTAACAAAGTCTTTCATTCCAACACATTAAAGCAAGAAAATATGGAATGCAATATATGTGAAACAGTGGTGGGCACTCAAAGGTAACAGAGTACGTCCGAAAATTAGGAGACACTTACATATATTAAAAAATTTAAATAGTTTGAAGAAAACCTGAAAAGTATTAACTTTTTGTTTTAAAACATATCTTTTTTTACATATGAGATCTTTGAGCCCACCACTGCTTTTAAGTACTTACAGCTTTTACATTTGCTGGGTAATCTACAAAGTGTAAAAATTTCCTAAATAGACAAAAATTTTGTACAAAATTCAATTCTTTTGTTTTTTCCATTTATGTCTTTTCTTCTCTTATTTCCAGTCAAGCTCAAAAGGTTACTAACACTTTTGTTTAAAGGGGACAGCAAAATTGTCAGAGTGTATTAGACATGTTTCATAACCAATATGCTTTGACACAGACACTCTTTTGCCCAAACAAAAATTACTATAACCCAGCAAACAGAAATTCAAATGTTTGAAAATATTAAGAATTTTTTAAAGGTAAATTTTAAATATCACATTCGTGTTAAGAAGAAAAATTCAACAAATTTGAGACTAACGATGTTTATTGGGTACTCAAACATACATATGTGTTGAAACCTGTGTTTTTTAAAAGGACATCTAGCTCTATTTTAGCAACATCATGCAAAACGTATAAAGTTTTTTCAGCTTGCATGTGTTATGTGTTGTTATATGATGTTTGCCAGAGTAACTGCATCTAAACTGGGCATTTTGTAAAGGTTGTAGCAGAATATTTAACTTAATACTCCTGCTACATGAGTACTACTTTCAATACAAACTTTTCATAAACTCATGCACAGACAGTTTTAGGTGGTCAGTCTGACTCCTAAATGTATGCTTTACTTTCTATTTTTCTACAGGATTTATGAAAATTTTGTTTCATGGCGAAACAAATACTCTTTAATGTAGATGAAATTTTGAAATATTAACCCTTTGTTAATAGACTATACCTAGAATAGACTATAGACTAAACTATAGACTAGACTATAGACTAGAATATAATCTAGACTATAGACTAGACTACTGACTAGACTATAGACTAGACTATAGACTAGACTATAGATTAGACTATAGACTAGACAATAGATTAGACTATAGAGTAGACTATAGACTAGACTATAGACTAAACTATAGACTAGACTATAGACTAGACTATACACTAGACTATAGACTAGACTATAGACTAGACTATTGACTAGACTATTGACTAGACTATAGACTAGACTATTGACTATACTATAGACTAGACTATAGACTAGACTATAGACTAGACTACAGACTAGACTATAGACTAGACTATAGACTAGACTATAGACTAGACTATAGACTAGACTATAGGCAAGACTATAGACTATACTATAGACTAGACTATAGACTAGACTATAGACTAGACTATAGACTAGACTATAGACTAGACTATAGACTAGACTATAGATTAGACTATAGACTAGACTATAGACTAGACTGTAGACTAAACTGTAGATTAGACTATAGACTAGACTATAGACTAATCTATAGATTAGACTATAGACTAAACTATAGATTAGACTATAGACTAGACTATAGACTAGACTATACACTAGGACTATAGACTAGACTATAGACTAGACTGTAGACTGGACTATAGACTAAACTATAGACTAGACTATAGACTAAACAATAGACTAGACTATAGACCTAAACTATAGACTGGACTGTAGACTAGACTATTGACTAGAACTATAAACTAGACTACAGACTGGCTTATAGAATAGACTATAGAACTAGAACTAAACAAAACTAGAAGAACTAGACAACTAGAACAGACTAACAGAACTAGAACAGACTAGAACAGAACTAGAACAGAACTAGAACAGAACTAGAACAGAACTAGAACAGAACTAGAACAGAACTAGAACAGAACTAGAACAGAACTAGAACAGAACTAGAACAGAACTAGAACAGAACTAGAACAGAACTAGAACAGAACTAGAACAGAACTAGAACAGAACTAGAACAGAACTAGAACAGAACTAGAACAGAACTAGAACAGAACTAGAACAGAACTAGAACAGAACTAGAACAGAACTAGAACAGAACTAGAACAGAACTAGAACAGAACTAGAACAGAACTAGAACAGAACTAGAACAGAACTAGAACAGAACTAGAACAGAACTAGAACAGAACGAGAAGAGAACTAGAACGAACTAGAACAGAACTAGAACAGAACTAGAACAGAACTAGAACAGAACTAGAACAGAACTAGAACAGAACTAGAACAGAACTAGAACAGAACTAGAACAGAACTAGAACAGAACTAGAACAGAACTAGAACAGAACTAGAACAGAACTAGAACAGAACTAGACAGAACTAGAACAGAACTAGAACAGAACTAGAACAGAACTAGAACAGAACTAGAACATAGAACAGAACTAGAACAGAACTAGAACAGAACTAGAACAGAACTAGAACAAACTAGAACAGAACTAGAACAGAACTAGAACAGAACTAGAACAGAACTAGAACAGAACTAGAACAGAACTAGAACAGAACTAGAACAGAACTAGAACAGAACTAGAACAGAACTAGAACAGAACTAGAACAGAACT